AATAAACAAATCCCGTTTCGATTGTCCTTTAATTGGAAAAAACTCTCTTGCGCCCTCGCGGGTATGTAAAAAGGAGGTGTGACACACCCCAATTCCTTGTTGGACCAATTTCAGAGACTTAGGCTCTCTTTCTCAAGAAGGACTAAAGTCAACTAAACACAAACTAGTATTTGCAACCACTAATTTAGCGATTAAACATGAAATTTGTTCAAATATCAAACACTCATAGACAATCAAGCATCAAAACACAAAATCCATCAATTACCCATACTAGGGTTGAGCCACAACCCTAGCTTATGGGTCTAGCTACTCATAATTAGAGAAGAAAACAAAGAAATAGATGAAGAAAAACTCATATTAATTAATTGCTAAAATAAACTAGAAGATTCAATGTTGAAATGAAGCTAAAATTGCTCAAAATAGCCAAAACTATCGAAGTCACGAGCGCAACTCAGTACAAAATCTATCTGATGACCTAAAAATGGGAAAAGAAGCTATTTATACTAAGTCGAAAAATCTGGACAAAAATACACATGCGGGGCTAGTGCAGACCGCACAAAATCATGTGTGGTCGTACTAGGGCTCTGAACTTGAAAATCCAACTCTGTGAACTCGGGCAATGCGGACCGCACAGAATAGAGTGCGATCGCGGTGTCTTCTAGTGCGGTCCGCATGAAATGGAGCGCGGACCGCATTGGCTTTAATCTCCAAACTAGCACTTCTCTGATTCTTGGTTCTGCGGACTGCACTAAGTCGAGTGCGGCCGCAATGACTCCAATATGAACCGCATTAAATCTCATGCGGCCGCATTGCCTGCTGGCCTGGAAATCAAACTCTCTGAACCTCACTTGTGCGGACCGCACAAAATGGTGTGCGACTGCATTGGGCCTATTTTGCTTGAGCTTTGTCTTGTCTTGGTACTTGTGCAAGCTTCACTCCTTTTTGAGCTGATCTTTGACATCTTGTCACTTTGTTGATCAAACCTGCAATCAAGCACAACTTGTGAGCCTGTTGGGACTATTTTTACAAATTTCTAATCAAAACATAAGCAAGAAGGAGTATAAAATGTATCAAAATCTCTGGTTATCACGAATTAATGAGATAAAAACAAATTTAAATTTAATAGTAATACAAACATACCTGCGCCTGTGAAAGATCCACAGCACCCGTTGACGATGAGCCATAACTCAGCCGGCGCCCACCATCCACATCTCGGGTCGATCGATCCTCAGCAGCGGTCGATGGGCCTGAAAAGAAATGCTCCCACTCTCCGGTAATGCTCATGCCCGTGATCAACAATTGATCTGACGGGGTCACCTGCAATGCTGCCGCAGTCAGTGCCAGCTGAAGGATGTACGACGACATGTTGTTGGGATGCTCATCTGGCTGAGGGAGGTAACCCGGCAGATCAGCTCCAACATCCTCATCAGGTGGCTCAACAGGTGCCTCAACGCCCCGTTGATGGGGACCACCTCCTCGTCGGCCCCCACGACCCCGTGAGGCACCCCTGCCTCGTGGGACAGCCCTGCCTCTTTGTCCTTTCGGTCGTGGGACAAGCCTACTTCGATAGTAGTGCTCTAGCGCCACATAAGCAGGGACGTGCTCTAAGCGCTCGTCCTCTCTGGCTCAATGCAGTGTCCGGGCAACCACCTTTGTAACCTGACGCCCATACTCTTACAAAGCGACCGCAGGATCGCCGACATGTTGTTGCATCTGCAGTCCCAACTGGTAGACTAAATGTAGACCAATAGCCTGCAAAACATGTAAAATATAAATTACATAATGCTATATCACAGTTATAAGTAAGAATACCAAATAACATACCAGTGCCTCGTGCCTCCCGGCATATGGAACGTACCGACCGCCAGCTCGGTGAATGGGGTTCCCGATGAAAAGTCGGGTAACGTGCGGTACCAGGGCATATAATCATGCCCAGTATATTATACTGGAGTATTTTTCCAGATTTTGAACAGTGTTTTCGTTCAGATTATCTTTACATGAAAAGTGGCTAAATTTCGATTACTTTTGAAACTGTGGCTATTTTTGAATGACCACTTATAATCTGGTTATTTGTTAATTTCTCCCTCATATTTTACATAATTTAATTGCGAGGGTGAATTAGCTGTTGAATCTTCTAATCAAAAGGAAAGATCACTCTAATTCCAACAACTAGTGGATGAAACTTTTCACTACGTCAATAGTACTGAACCCCTGTCTGGTAAAAGAGCCAAAAAGGAAGGGAAAAAACATGTCCCACGCCCCCACCTACACTACTGTCGTGACGAGTGTCGAGCGCTCTTCCTTATCGACAAATCTGGCACTTTTAAAACCCGTTTGGACATAATAATTTTTTTTATTTTTTTTTTCGAAATTAATATTTGATCATAAAAATTTTAATTTTTTATTTGAAGATGAATTTTGGAATTTTTCGAAAATTTGAAAAACTCAAAAAAATTATTTTTTAAAATTTTCCCTCAAATCACTCATAAAACTTCAAAACAGCCCAAAATTATATTCACCTCCAAATACAAATCTAATTTTTAAATTCCATTTTCACTTGGAATTTGTTCTTACTTTTTTTTTTTGAATTTTTACCATTCTTATGTCCAACACCCACTTAGTCTAAATTCTCGAGCACTAAATCCTCACCGACAGCAAACCTTTTTCCAACAAATCCAACTAAATCCTCACCGATTCCCTACATAGATATCTAGTTTAATAGGAGTACTATAGAAGTTATACCAATATAACTCGAAGAGTTGATGCAATACCAATTCGTAAAAGGGGAAAATGGCAGCTCCTGTGAGTGGTGACAGGCATTAAAAATGTGAGAAACGTGATAGGCGGGACTACTCACCACTGTACTACAAACGACTTGGCTGTGAACGGCGTCATACTTTGCTGTATCATTCAATTTTATCTGGCATCGCCGTCAAACAAATGTTAAAACCAAAAAAGTAACGCCGTTGCCGGGGATCGAACCCGGGTCACCCGCGTGACAGGCGGGAATACTTACCACTATACTACAACGACTTTGTTTAAAGGATTGTTTAGTCATTGATATTAGACAATGTCTTTACATGATTCCAAACATTCGTGTATGCTCACTTGCCAATTGTGCAGAATGGTGGCAGTAAGAGTTTTGTTTCTTATTTTTCGCTTTTTGTAATTAAGCAGGGGTATACACTAGTACAAGTAGCAGAAACTTTTTGGTAGGCTAGGCTCTCACTCTTCTTAGTTCTTACCTCCTATTTAAGTGACTCGATCCTAAAATAGAGAAATGGCATAGCGCTATCTTATTTTGCCCGACTTTTTTCCCAACATTTGCTCATCTCAGAATGTATGAGTTGAAATAACTTTTTTTTTTTTTTTTTGGGTAATTAAGTCGAAATAACTTCTATTACCATTCGATATCCACCTTATATTCATAGTTTTGACCAATTTTAAATTAAGGGTATCGCCGGAAACATCCAAGCTACCACCAAGTTAATTTTTCTCATCCAACCAAATTAATTCAGTATCTACAAGACTACAAAATAGAAAGAAAGAAAGATACCGTTAACACAAGCTTAGCACTTCAATATGATAGCCAGTGAGAAAAAGCGTATCAGATTGGCCCGGAACTGAACTGCTGACCTAAAAGAAGATACTACATATTCCAAACCGTACCCAAGTTGAGATCACGAAATATCAACCACCCAAGCACCGACTATGATAGTTTCTTCACGTTTTGCATGGAAAGCATTTTCCTTAGAAAATTAGTTTCTAATATTAAGTTGGATACAGATTAGGTTAAATATGATAATTGTACAAGCTATAAAGTAAGATACGAGGATAGTCTTTTGCTGATATTTTCAGATACTGATCAGTGTTGGTAACAAAGTATAAATGTTGAATGCAACATGGGAGATTGAATAGAGCAGAAAATTTTTAGTTAAAATAAAAAACTTCCACCCAAAAGTAAGAGGAGCCATTTTCCATTTTAATGAAAACAAATTCCTCAGAAAATATTTTTCAAATTCAAGGCAACTAAACACTTGAAAACATTTTCAGGGTAACATTTTGCAAAATACCAAATTTATTTGCTCCATGTGCCTTTCATTTTTTTTAAATGCACGAGAGTATCACGTGGAAAGAAACAACACTAGAGAGCAAGAAGAAATCCGCTGTACCAGGATTTGGTAGTTTTTTAATGCACAATCAAACTTGAATTAACCAATTAATGTGTAATTTTTAACCTATACATGTTTATACAGAGCTCCTATGTTTCCCACGTGATTGCAAGGACTTAAAAGACTCAAAATTTTGACATATTGAAGAGGACCTATAGGGCATGAGGAAGATTGATAGTCTTGTCTCCAACAAAAGATTCTTCAGATCCATGGCTGCAAAAAAATCAACTCAATCTAATAAACAACCACCTTATGGATCATGAATTACACCACAGAAACAATAATGATATTTCTTTTTTATAATATAGAGAGTGGGGGTGTCCATGAGGTTTTACCTGAGGTTACTCAAAGCTGACATCCTGTATAGGCAGGTGAACACTAAAATGTGCAACCCAATGGTGTAAAAGAATGCAAACGTACGGGCATATCTGCAACATGAAAATTCGCTTCACTTCGTTACATGACATTCAAAAGCTGATTTTAATACAATCAGATTTCTACTGTGAATATGGTCTTAAAATATTTCCTCTTTACCCACTGCTTTAAAACCCACGAAGAGGAAAATGGCGTATAATGAAAGTAGTAGTCATATAAAAATTTTGTACACTTTATTCCTGCTGAATCTAAGAACAACACTATTTTATATATTTACCTTTTAAATGATATAAAATGTATGAGACTCAAATCTACTATTAATACCATCCAGGATAAAACCGGTGACAACAATCAACAATGACACCTAACTTTTTCCATAATGCTCATCATAACTTACGAGTGTCGAGCTAACTAAAGAGGAAACATAATAGTGGAAGCTTACTTGTTACCAAGAAGAAAACGTCCACTACTGAGAGTAATCTTGTCTCTCAAACCCAGATCCTTGTATCTCTGGTCTCTTTCCTATTATAGGCAAAAAGATTTGATAAGATGCGGACCAACAACCTCCAATAGCATGAGTAAAATGGGTATGATCATGAACAGATAAAGAAATGGAAACAAGGGACATACAGAAAATTAAAGGGAAGCTATTGCACGGACTAGACAATGTAAATGTTGGGAAAGACAGAAAGATGAGAACATATAGAAACAGTTTAGAAGTTGGAACTTTAAATGTTTGGCAATTTTTGTGATGGGACATTAAAAATAAAACGCAAAGGAAGCTGCTCTCATCAATTTAAATGATTCTGAAAGCTAATTCAGAGGCCTCAAATGAATGGACTTGGCAGATGGAGGCAAGTGGAGCAACTAAGTTTTACTAACACCAGCCTAACCGTGCCCTCTGGAAAAAAGACTTGGAATTCAATTAAGATGTGAAAGAAACCTTCTTTGAGAATGCTGCAAATGGATTAATATCATCCTCATACATCTTCTTGTATTTGGATTCCACATCTGAGCTGAAACCACTTTCTAGGTCTTCTGCATACTGAGAATGAGAAGGCAGCATTTCAGAGAAAAAGAAATTGAAGCAGACTGTGAAATCAACAATAAATCCAGGTAGGTCACCTTCTTTGATCCTCTTGAGATCACTCTCTCAGAATTATAATCCTGAACATAACGGATCTTTCCGTAAAGTTTGACATTATCTGCTTTTGTTTTTTCGAGTTCTGAGGTCAACACCCCTATCGTCTCGTTCAGCCGTCTAATTTCCTAGCAAGATTAAGAATTACAAGCTAATGACTCTTGTAATCATAAAAGATAAAATAATCTGTGGTTTTTGGAAGGTGGGTGGAAAGATAGAAGTAGAAATCATTTCAATAAGAAAGGAAAAAAGAGTGAAACCTCCTCAGTTTCCTGCAAGCGAGTCCGGAAGCGATCTCGTTGGTTGCAAATCACCTTAAGCATAGAGTTTTGATCTTGGTCTGATGAAACATGCCTCTGTTCTGCATTCTATTAAATATATGTTAATATTTTTTTTTTGATAAGTAAATATGTGTCAACTTTTAGAGAGCTCATACTCATAAATTATAGCGTTTTAGAACTTGAAATGCATGAATCAGAAGCATCGACCCTTTGGAAACACAATCTTACACGTCAATAGATAACTCGAGGAAATTATCCTTTGTATGATGGTTATCTATGATACCCAACAAATACTCTTTTCTCCACTCTTTAACAGATTTCATTCGTTTTTGTTGATCACTAACAGATGTCATTCATTTTCATCAATTGGATTCTTATTTCATTTTGTTTTAGATTGGTTTATCATCGCTTGTTCCTCTGCCTAACAGAGGTGGATCTCCAAGGTTACTGCAAGACTACTAATGGAGGTTATGCAATCCTTTGGAGGTAACCATATACAACAACAACAACAACAAAAAACCCAGTAATTTCCCACAAATGGGGTCTAGGGAGGTAAGAAGTATGCAGCCTTACCCCTACCCCTACCCCTGGAAGGGAAGAGAGGCTGTTTCCGAGGGGTAACCATATGCATCAGTCATAAAAAAGCAGGTTTCGTTGTTCGGTGACTAGTTCCCCAAAGGAGTCTCTTAGAGGAAATAGGAGATGTGATGGTAGGAGTTCACAATTTAAAACTTTTATCTGAATCCATATTGATCAATATCATATTCCATTTCTTCAGAAAGTTGGCATAGGGTGGCTTCTTTTGTGGGTCATGTTGGAATGAGAAATCAAACATGCAAAATGTTGGGAGATAGGTCAGCTGTTAAATTAGTAACAGATGTGATACGCAGAACTAGGCCGGAGTTATACTATCCTGCTTTCTCAGGTACCAGAAAGAATACGCATCGACCTATTTTTTGGATTGAAGGGATGTCTTGAACTACTGACATCAAGTTCAATCTTAACCAAGTTGTGTTTTTGTTTTTTAACAGTTTGTCATCTTCTTAAACAGTAATAAATCTGTTCAAATGATACTGTTGATGTAATCTGTTGTGCAGTTCTCAATCCCTTACCATCCGCTTAAAAGATCACTTCAGGGGATCCCTTTAAGGCAGATTTCTCAACCACTACTACATGACTCGCACTCCTTAAGTTAAACAGATAATGTGATTGAGGCCAAGCAATAAGATTAGACTGAAATATTAAACGACAAACTGGTAATTTTAAATTTATAGCAATTTCTGAAAGATCCAAGTACTGGACTGCTGGAGTATGCTATGACATGGCCTTTATTGAAACCTTTAGGCTGAGGGGTAAAAGGGAGAAGATCACCTGCTCAACTATATGAAAGAATTGAACCTTTAGAAAAAGGAAGGTAAGCCACTTGCAGAGAGAGTTGACAAGATGCAGGAGCAAGGCTTAGTTCAAATAGTCTATATATAACCTTTCTTTCTAGGGCAGAGACGAAAAAATAAGGAAGCAAGCAAAGACCAATATTCACCTCAGATGCCTCTTTTCCTCCAGACTCTGACAAATCCCAATCATCAATTAGAGTGTTTTTTCTGTCTTTAGAACTATATCCCTGCAATAGCAACAATAGAGTTCTCTGAAAAATATAATTTACTAAACTACACTCAATTCTTTACAAACTAATAGAAAAGCAAGCAGCAATCACTTGGGCAAATTTAAATCTAAATAAATCCTGTTTCTGGCACATCATGTTCAATCACCAACATGCAAAAGTAACACTATTATATCTACCACAATATATAATGCAATATTTACATCCAACAAACCTGGGTTTGGGAGAATGGGAGGGGAGAAAACTGCACAAACCTTTAGAATATCATCCTCTAACTTCTGTACTAATCGTTGTTGTTCGTTAAGCTTTGCAGTTAATTCTACAATCTTGGCTTCCGAAGAGTCCAATGAAGACGTCCTTTCAGAAAGTTGGAACTGAAATCATAGAAAGAAGTTAAAACAACATGATTCATGATTGATAAATTGACTCCTCAGATACAGACACTATATGATAATCAAATAAACATAATTTATCTCTGAGAGCATTACCATCTAAATACATTCAGATTTTTCCCATAATTATTCATGACAATCAAACATATAGTTGGGGCATAATCACTACTTGCAAGTTACCTTTAACTGTGTCAGCTCATGCTCCATTTTCCGATTCTTATCAAGAAGTAAGGACTCAAGTTTGCTCATCTCTTCTCCACTGGTAGCAACTTCCCAGTCTTCGGCCTCAATTGTATTGTAACCCACTGCCTACTCAAAGCAACAAAAGGATTACAGTGGAGAATGTAGCAATGACATTCTTGAGCTAGGTAGTGAATCATGGAGAGACCCAGTTCCAAACTCAAAGATGAATAGAAGCAAATGAAGCTGGATATAGTGGAGCAAATTGATGTAGTCATGTAACGCAGGGAAGAAAAAGGAAACAGTCTCTCTACTCCTTCGAGGTAGGGGTAAGGTCTGCGTACACACTACCCTCCCCAGACCCCACTAGTGGGATTTTACTGGGTCGTTGTTGTTGTTGTTGTATGTAACACAGGGAAGAAAAAGGAAAATGAAGAAAAGAGAAAAGCAGTCAATATCTTATATGTTGAGAAATGTGTTTAGAGATTTCTTAGGCTATCTTGAGAAGTCGGAAGTTCAACGAAAACCAAAAATTAAAAGGACTTGTAAAACCTACACAAAATCGAGTAACTGAAGCATATTGAGTGAGAATAACCTGTAAGATTTTAACTTTCTTCCTCAAATCATCAATCACCTTTGTTGTTGGCCTTGTTTGAAGTTCCTTCTTCAGTTCCTCAAGAGCAACTTCCTAGGGTAGATTCAAAAGCATGATTAATTGGGGGAAACGAGAAAAAAAGGCCTTAAAAGAGAGATTGACCAACAACACAACTTGATGCCTATTATAATATGTATAATAGAATAGTTGCAGCAACTTATCAAAGTTGAACCCCTGAGCCTTCAGAGTGAAACTCAGCATAAGTGCTCCTAGAGGAGCTGAGTCAATTTGAAAGGCATAAATACCTAGGACTGCTACTAGTACTTTACGCAAGAAATGTGAAGTATATCTCAGAGCACCTAAATTACTAACACAAAAATAGATCAGAGGGGATAAAACATAAAGGAAAAAAGTTTTACACAATATCCAAATATTGACAATGAACGTCTATCTTATTCCCCAATGTGGAAAGTAGGAACATTATTCAAATTGGTCCCACAATAATTGGTATAAAACAATGAACATGTTCCAATACATTAGGAAGTCAGTTGGAGCATTTTTTTTTTTTTGATTTTGCACCGGGTGTCCGAGTCTCTAAGAGCCCCGACTAATCCCGGGGGTGCGCAGGCCCTCGGCAAGGAGTTTCCCGCAGGTGCACCACGGTTAATTCAGGTTTTACCCAGTCCGATGGCCCTCAGAAAAGTTGGAGCATTTTGTACTCATACATACAAGCAAACCAGTGAGGAAGGTATAACACTATGGTCAAAGAGGAGTTGGAATTTTTCTATATCCTCAGTACATTTTTAGTTGACAACTATTACACTAGCACCAAAGGAACATACCTTTTCATTAAGCAGCGCATTCAACCTCTTTATCTCATTCATGTGCTGTTCTCGCTCATTTGATAAGGCGTTCTCCAAATTATGAAGTTCTGTATTTAGCTCAGAAATGATCTTCTCCTTGGCAATCAGAGAAGTCTCAAGAGCACTATTTGCATCCAAATTATCGCTGAAAGTGAAGCGGTGAAGACATTCGACCAGTTACTTTAACCTGTTTACCAATGATAGACATGTTTTGGAAGAAAAAAGAACTACAGAGAAACAAGATGTACTATATAAATGTTTGTCATAGATCATAGTTCACACGTTAATACATTAAAAGGTTTAAGTGTGAAATGATTGCTGTAATTACACTTTTATACACTATTCTTGACTAACCTAGTTTGCTCTAGAGTATGCCATACAAACTCTCACACTTCGCCTTCCTCTTGTTAAACTGCATTGCTCTAGTCAGATATGTAAACGGAGCTTTTAACCATTTTAATTTTCATGAGTAATAAACTTTCTCAGAACCAGTGTAACAAGCTAAGAACATCGTTCACCAGCCACAGATTGATCAACTGGATGTCAAAGCATGTCAGGAGATGGTTTTCGCAAGATATATATTTGCAGTCACATACATATATGGCTGAAGGAGATAAAACAAATTTGTTAAGACAAGGAACTTAACCTGTTCTTGTGATCATTATCTTCAGTTGCCGTCTGTAACTGTGAGCGCAACAATCCCTGAATAAGCCAAAGCATAATATTATTAATCAATCCAAAAAGAAAAAATTCACTACGATTGTGCCGTAAGATCTTATGGTTGAGCTGACTGAGTCTCCGTCGAAACAGAGTGGAAAAGTGTCCACAGCTAAAATGCTTGATATGGAATTTAAAGTGAAGCAATATACCACAAAAAGAAGAAAAATTGAAACCAAAGATAGTTAGATCCTATTACCTTTTCTCTTTCAAGACTAAGAAGGCGAGTCTGAGCCCGTTCAACTTCATCCATTAACAAGCTGACTTCTGATTGCTTTGCTGCCCTCTCTCCCTCTATTTGAGTACAAATGAGTTAGTCCAACTATTTATTAAGGTATATATTTAGCCAATAAAACGAGGGGAAAAAAAGAGAGCAGTTCCAAATCCTGAAACCGAACTTTGACTAGAAAAAAGAGCTGCACGCTTTCAGATTAGCATAATACAAATCAAAGAAATAAACAGACTTATGGCTAGATGAATATAACACCTGATTGTGCATGGACTTCAAACAACTGGCTCTGCGCAAGTTCATGCAACTTTTGCATGGTCGAAACACTTTCTTGAGCTTGCCGTAATTGATCCTGCAATAGTTGTTCCCTGCATCAAATAGAAGACTGCAAATCATGATATTCCTATTCCAGAAGGAAAGATATGACACCAAATACTTATTCAAAGATAGATGTGAAGCTAAATGTAACACCTTTCTTTTAAAACCTCAAGAGTTTTCTGGTTCTCTTCTGCCAAACTGCGTTGCTTAATTTCCACAACTTCCTTGACTTTCTCCTCCATCTGAACCACAAAAAGGACATATTAAGGATCAAGCCAAATGAAGCTGGCTGCTATGTACTCAGATTCACAACATCAGATGGTACTAAGAAGATGCGCTTTTCTTTATAAGCCAGCACTATAGAGAAAGTCCAACATCGGAAAGTGCAAAATTCTAACTCAAACCACACTCCCCATCCTATGGGAAAAAGACCCAAAAATACAGGAAAGGAAAAGGAAGAGGAAAAGTAATGTGAATTATTACAAAGATAAAAACAGGAAAGTTATGTGCATGAAAATTAAGCAGAAATCATATTCTTAGCTTCACCTTGAATACCACTCTCAAAGGGTGCTGAGAAGCCACACTAACTCTTACTCAGGCTTAGCCTCCTTATTTTTGTCCCCTTAGCTCAAGTTAAACTCAATGGTTAATGAGCTTATTGAGCTGCCTCTATGTTTCATTATTAGATATTTATATGGTGAAATGAACTGACTAGTTTCTCCAATCAACTCACGAAACCTAGCAGACTCCATTTATGTCTCAGCTGCATGTCTCTGGTTACCTCCAGTCTCTCACACATTAAAAAAAAAACTGTCTCTCTGTTACACTCTAACTTGCTTGCAAAACCACTTCATCTCCCCCTTCAAGGCCACTTGCCACAAGCCGCAGTAAACCATCTTCAAGAACGACTCCTGGGCTTCTAATTTAACTGTATTCAATTTCCCAAGTGCTGCAGCACCATCATCATACTCTTGTGACCATTATTAGAAAGCAACTGAAGTTCTCCATTAGACACACCAAATTTGGGACTCTGACTAGTTTCAGATGCCAATGATGGATATTTGGTACTATCAGCAGTTCAAATTTTGAAACAGAATAAAAGGCCTTTCTCTAGGTTTTATTTATTTATTTATTTTTGTGTGGGGATAATCCTTTCTAGAGTTGAATCCTAGCGAAACGTGGAGCTACTTGAGAAGATTTGTGGGTTTGAAAAGTAAAAGCTAGCAAAGCCACAAAGCTTGAGCTTCCTCTTTCTTTTCTTTTCTTTTTCTTTTCCTCTCTCTCAGAGTGAATTTTAAGTAGAAGCTAACGGTGGTTCCACTGATCCACTCAGCATAGTTCAAATCGTGTCATCTCTACTTGTGTGGAACTTTTACAAAGTAGAGAATAAATATAAGCAACAATTCACATGGTAGGGATTGCACATCGAAGTAGTGAACTGGGTGACTGCAGTAATAATCAACAAAATTACTGTCAATATGCAAGTAGCAAACATACGCATGTGTGGCACATATGTATATATAAATACTGGCCTGCTGTTCTAACTGACGGCAACGCTCTTCAAGTCTTCTTATTGTTGCTTGTTGATTTTTCAAGTGAGTTGCCTCCATGCGAAATTCTTCAAGCTCAACCTTCATTTTTCGATTCTCAGATTCTAATTCTGATATCTTTGAATCCTTTTCCTGCATAAAGTTTGAACAATCAGAGAAAACTTAAAAGTAAATAAACTGAAGCATCCCTGAATGCTTTGTGCACAGCACCCTGAAGATTTATTTAATTGAATTGTGTAGCCATCATTTAAGCCATTAAATACTGTTTCTAAAACATTTTTCTGGATAGTGTCAATTCCAGCATTTAAAACTGTTAGCCACCAGAAATACTTCAGTATCCCAAGCCCCACTCGACATGATTGTTATGCCACTGAAAAAGTTTGTGCAATAAGATAGTCGCAAATCCTCTTCCTACACATACTTAGCAGTTACAGTTTAGTTGATCTAAGATGGAAACATATAACCAGCCTACAATTTAGTATTTGAGAATCCAAAATCACGGACCACTAATCCACTCACTGCAAAATGCCATGTGACAATAACTTAAATAATTTTAGCTCAATCTAGCCATTTTTAGTGGCCAGCAGCGAGCACCAGTACAAGCTCTAACAGTATATTGTTTCAAAGATTGATCATCAAACTCTAGGAGTTCTTTCAAGAGCATGAAGTTTTTCATTTGCGCAAGCAAGGGATAAGTGATTATAAATCCAGCATCGTACTTACAGCAATAGAAGCAATAATCGGGTAGGGATCTGGTGCCTCATAAAGTTTCTGATAAATGTTAAGAAAAGCATTTTCCCCATATTTTGCTCTCTTTGTAAGATTGTCAACCTCTTCTTGATAACCCTTGAGCAAAGAGTTAAATAAGCTCAACTTTTCTTCTTTTGAAGCCTTTTTAAAGTCTGCCAAGAGGTGCACGAACATGTTTTACACAAACAAAAAAAGTAAAAGTAATTATAAGGATTTATAATGGTAGTGCAGTATCAGCTCAATGGAAATGCATGTTTAGTACCTCGAGTGCTCTCCGCAAGTTTCCGGCGGTTCTTCTGACTGATATCTTGATTTTCAGCAATTCTAAGACCTTGTTCATCCAGTATACTCCTTTCTTTCTCTAAATCAAAGTCTGTAAAATTTGTTTTTTTGTTGAAAACGAAAACCAATATGCTTAAAATGCATCTTCAACTTTATCTTCTCTTAGACCAAATTAAAAATAGTATGCAATGAATATCATTACACATAACAATACAGCAAAAACTAAGCCTCAGCGCCAAAAAAATTGGAGTCATTTGAAAAACTACATCATGGAAATCAGAATGAAACATACAAAAGCAAAGTGAACATTTTGTTTCAATGAATTCACTTCATCACCAGCAATCCAAAATCTAACTAAGCACCTGAGTTTTTCCCCTCCCTCTTTTTATCTCTCTGTTCCAACATTCTACTGCGAATTGCAAAGGAGCTTGAGTGAAAAGTAGCCAAAAATCCGAGTATTATAAAAATTCACTTCATCACTAGCAATCCAAAGCTGCCTAGGATACTTAGGTTTTTTCGCTTCTCTCACTCTATCTCTCTGTTCCGACATTTTACAGCAAATTGCAAGTGAACTTGAGTGAAACAGTAGCTAAAAATCCGAGCAGCATATCAAGTGAACTACTGATTTTATAGAAGAAACGCGAACTTTCTCTTGACTAGTGTTAAATTCCTTTCACAAGACAAGTGCGAAGTCAACTAATCCTAATTGAAATTAATTTGACGATAATCAACAGCAAAACCTAGAGCCGGTGATATGCATCATAAATAAAAGGAGTTTAGGGGATTATTGCATCGGAAAAATGTACCTCTCCAGTAGGTAGAGACAGCGGCAAGGGGAGTAGAAGAAGACGTAGGTTTTGCCTTATCTCTCTCCGATACTCCTTCCTGGGGATCCATTGTTCATTCAAACGCTTATATGAATTGTCACAAATTTGCTATGTACCAATCCGATGCAATGCTATGGAGAAAATGTTGAACTAATTTTTTGATAGATCAAAGATCTTAAGCTTTCAGTTCCAGAGTTAGTTCGATCATCTTGTTGCCGCAGAAAGCAACGAAAGTTTAAAGGAGAATGCCGTTCTGTTATATATAGATTGCAATTGGAAAATGCACGTACAATCGGTACAGAATGAGACTTATAAATGGCAATGCATAAACACAGCTTATAAATTGCGTTTCTCAAATGCGATTTATAAAGCGATTTAAAATCGCCAATGTCAAAGCACCTTCTAAATTTTAATGTTCCACTTATATGTTAGGGTTGGAATTTGGAATCACACGTACTGCAGTAATTACGTGGAATAGTAATTATAAAGATCTATTTATTTATTATTATATAATTACAATATAATTTTCAATGTCATGATTGATTATACAATTGTAATTACATAATAGATACTGTTTGTTATAAAATAAAGTTTAATTACAGAACACTAACGGATCTTTTTTAGATTAAAAAAATAAATAGACTTTAATATGTGACAATTATATATGTATATCAAACAAAAAAATGTGTGTGCCTAAAAATTATTAAATATTATTTACGGCGGAAATATTTGGGATGTAAACTTGACACTTTTGTTTAGTTTCTCTTTAAACTTTACGTGGTCTTTAATACCTCCTGAACTTGAAAATTTGATAGTCTTGACCCCCGTAGATGTTGATGTGGAAAAGAGCATGGATACACTCTCATTTAGGCACGTGGGAGGGAAGAATAATCGAAAAATCAGGTTTCAAGTGGGTATTTTTCAAATATTAATTGCTACATAATCAAATATAATGATTTATTTATTCCAATTGTATTTCTCGTTGTTTCTTCTTAATATACACCGAATATTTTATCCTAATTATTTTTTATACAATGAATATATGTTTCAACTATGTATTTCTTCAAGTCCCGAAGGGGCGGCCCAGTTGGGTTTGGAGTGCGATATCCATACAGATGACGCATGTTCAAAACCAACTCAATGCTCTTCTGGGTCTGAGTCTGTCGCACGGGGCTTGCCTAGTGAGGGATTTACCCAGTGCGTACAGAGTGCTCACCCGAAGGGCAGAGACTGTAGCGGCTGCGAGTGGAACGGGAAGCCTACTGGACGCGATTCAACTAGCAGAGTGAAGACTTCTTCCGAATGACATAATTATAGACACTACATTCCTCGATCTTCGAAGAAAACTTGGAAGTTCCATTGCTTGGTGCTTCATAAGAGTACAAATAATATAGACAAGTAACTGACTTTGAAAAAAGATGCTCGCATAGCGTGTGATGGACCAAGTCTTTGGTTTTACCAGATTGGAGTTGTCATCCTGCTGGAAGAATCTGGAGTACTGAAACTCCTCGAATTGACATGATTTCTTGGCACTGTCTCTAAGGTAAACCATGTCAAAGTCGTGCTGGTTTGATTATTATCGCACATTTTGTTAAGATCCACTAGTTATAAGAACATTCAAAGAAAACTGATAACGTTGACCGCCGTGTACATCCAATATGAGTATCTTATTCGTGGTTAAGCTGTAGAAATTTGGAATGACCGGAGGAGATCAAACAAGGGTTTAACATGTAAAACATGTATTGTTCACACGTTGCGTAAGAGCATAAGTTAGAATTAGCAACTAATTAAATAATTAGCTTCAAATTTGTAAATTAATAAATTGAGCCTTCTTACATTTAGAATCTTCTCACGATCTCCATAGTCCATACATTCATAAAATAGAGGAACGTGGAATTAACATGACCCTTGCCAGCCGAATGTCACCAAAAATAAACAAGACGCCTACTGGGGGAATTCCACATACTTTTCCCATAATCTTTTTAATTTTTATAAAGAATCTAAGATCATACTTGTGCTGTTAACCCAAGTCTTTGCTTCCATTAATAGTCAGTCTTCTATCAACTCAAATGATCTAAACCTCAAGTGCTCTCTCTTATTTCGTTCCACAGAGAGAGTAAAGAAGAGATGGGACGTATAGGTGCAAACACCATTCATCAGTTCCAAGTTCAAACCCAAAATGATCAGCACCAGCTGCAACCTCATCAAGAATACACTTCTCAAGTAGTAGAAAGTTTTGATCATCAACAAGCAGAGACCATTGAAGAAATGCCTCCACCATCCACTGAGCTTTTCCATGAAGATCTTTATCCAGAAGAAAGTCAAAATGAGCCATCAACATTTGCATCACAAGAACTGACAATGCAACAAGATTCAGTACAACAACAACAATCTGTACTGCAAGCACCTCCCTCATCATCCAAGCAGCCAACAAGCAGGCCCGTGACCACACGGTTCTCTCAGCAAAATGGAAAGACTCAAAGGCCTAGGAAGCAGCCTCAGCCCCAATCAGCGACTCTAAGGTCACAGCTACAACCTAGCCAACACAACAGCTTCCCTGTTCACGATCCTCAACCTCAAGCAGAAGCCTTTCCACCACCTCAGTCTCAACCCCTGCCACATGCCTTCCCACCTGCTCAAGATTATTATGAGCCCCACGTCTTTCCTCCTACACAGGAAGAAGCGCAAGCATTTCCCCCAACTCCTGTACATGCCTTTCCTCAACCTCATGCTCAATCTGTGCCACAGGCCTTCCCTCCTGCTCAGGACTGTTATGAGCCACATGGATTTCTTCCTAATCAGGAAGAGAAGGAAGATTTTCCTCCAACTCCTATTAAAGCACATGCCTTTTCACCACCTCAATTTGATCCCCAATTCTTTCCTCCTCAGGCTGAACCACAATCCTTTGTACCTCAAAATCATAATGTGCAAGCAAGTACTAATTTCCCACAACCCAATGGGCAGTTTTTCCATGCGGCCAACGGTTTAGTGCAGGGCCCACAAGGGATGCCGCTGGTATCTCCCATGCCACAGACTTTCATGACGGGAATCCCTACAAAGCCATTTCTCCCAACTGAATCTTGGAAGACTGGATTGTTTGGTTGCATGGAAGACCCCACAAATGGTAAACAATTTTCAATCTCCTTATTTCATGCACTTAAGCACATACAGACAAAGGAACGTTCTATTCTTTTACACAAGTAAAAGTTTCCATGTGATTTACTAGCTAGTGCAAACTTTCAGCTCTCATCACAGCATGCTTCCCCTACCTGACATTCGGACAGATTGCGGAGATTGTAGACTCTGGACAAACTAGTAAGTAATACATAGATAAGAAAACAAATGAAAATGCTTACACTTCATAGCAGTTTTGTCCTTTCTGAATTTTCTTTACTTTCAGAAAAATCTTTTATTTAACTCTCTCTCTCTCTCCTTGTCTATCCTTTTGTGTACTATAGCTTGTACCACTAGCGGCTTGATCTATGGGGCGATATTCTTTGTCCTAATGCCTTGCATAATGTCATGCACCTATCGTACAAAGTTGAGGAGCCAGTATGGGCTAATTGAATCACCGGCACCCGACTGGGTAATCCACTGCTTTTGTGAATGCTGTGCTCTCTGTCAAGAATATCGAGAGCTTCACCTAAGAGGCCTTGACCCTTCAATTGGTACTTCTACTTTCAACCTTATTTTATTTCTTTTTTCTCACCATAATTATTAAGTTGATAGGTCAATTGTATTATGGTCCTTATCTATGAAATCATGAACAGAACCATTCTTTTTTTGGGTTTCGCTATTATACTTGTCGTAGTTCTGATTGATATGGATTGTTCTTCATTGCCAGGATGGCAAGGAAATCAGGCTTTAAAACAGAACATACAGCTGCAACAAGCTACTATGCTCCCTCCAATTCACCAAACCATGATGGGATGATTAATTTGCCAGAAACTAAGTGTTTACATTGTGCTTCTCTCTAAATTTTGTTCTGTCTTTTTTACTTTATAGATCTTTGTTTGTATATTGCTGTGTTCCTCTATAATTTGTAATACCCCAATGGGAAAGAGGAAAAAGTAACCAACACTGTTAAATGTTCAAATGTTTCTAGTATTTTCATCGTGATGAACTAATTTTATTGCAACGGAACTTTCATGGCTCATCAGATGGCAACATTAATTCCCTTATTGAGGTTTGATAACGGTAGCAAGGCTAGTTTTAACCAAGTACTTTAATTAGGTTCACATTCCACCGGTAAACTTTACCTTATACATGATACTATATCCACTTATGAGGATAATTTTGATCTCTTTCCTCGTAGGAATTGTCTTGTGGTAACTAATACTCCCTCCGTTTCAATTTATGTGAAACTATGCGCACGAAGTTTAAGAAAAAAGAGAAGACTTTTGAACTCGTGGCGTAAAAAGTAGCACATATATTTTGTATGGCTATAAAAACATTGCATGACGGTAAATTGTTTCCAAATATGGAAAGAGGTCATTCTTTTTTGGCAGAGACTAAAAAGGAAATAAATTCACATAAATTAAAACGGAGGCAATAATACCATTGTTTATAATTCACTATAACTCTCAACCGATGGGGTGATGCACCTGCCAAACATTGTGGTGAAAGATGGAAAGAGATCATTTTACATAATTACTGTCAGATCAATTCCCGTTTATTCTGTAATGAAAAAAGGAACACGTTCCCCAGTACATAATTTCTGTAATGATTCAAGACTCACATCCACGCCCACTTCCCTCGGGTCAACGCTGAACTTACACTCCAGGTATNTCAGGCGACACCCTATGACCAAAAGTTACCAACTCAGGGCAATGACCTCCATCCCACTACAGACACCTAAAATGCCAGATCATATTGGTTCACCCTAATACTTCAGTGGTTTAAGCCCGGATCATATTGGTTCACCCTAACACTTCAGTGGTTTAACGATCTTGCATCTAAGATAAAACGGGACTAAGCAAGCTGCCAACACCATCGGATGTAAAGAGTTCAAATTGGAGCTTTCCACCTTAGAGAGAAGCCTCCTGATCCGTACGTCCAATGAACTAACTTCTCCACACCACCTGTTGGCTCCAAAGCCATGATGGTTCATTTCTTCATTATATTATATATTCTTTTGGTAGTTTACTCTTGAGAACAAGCTTGTTGCTTTATGGCTTTTAATCATTTGTATCGATTTAAACACTAAGCCTACCTCAACAAAAAAATTGTTTAATGTTATAGGACAAAGCAAAAGAAAGATGCTCGGCTTTAATTCCATAAAAAGTCACAGAAATTGTTCTTTGTAAAAACTTATAAAGATGCCCCTATAAATTGATCGAGCTAAGATTTTTGAAAGAAACATCTCTGAAACAGATTTTATAACTTAGACAAACGTTCAAGAATACACGAGCTTGTAACAATTAATACAAGATACATGGGCAATGCATGTATTTAGTGGCAAGCTGAACAAAATAGAGCAAACTTGTACATTTAATCCTCTAGCAAATGGAGGTCACCAGCCCAACCACAAGCCTTCTTGATCATCCATTGAAACCGTCAAGGCAAGTAGAATTATAAAAACCTAGATGTTTATCGTAGCATCCCACAGTCGAAGCAACCCATTGCGTCCACCACTACAAATCCTTTTCCTTTCAAGGTCAGAGGCCACACATCGTACCTGAAGATAAAAGATGATGGGATCAAAACTTGGAGAAAATGTTACATTATTTAATACTGCAGCTAATCTTTTGCAAAGCAGCAGGGCAAGGCAAGAAATTTTTTAGAAAAGAAAAACTAACAGGAAAACTGGAATAGTGGAGACTGAAGTTGTCATTTCTGACAGGGCAAGGCTAGATTTGGTCAACTGTGCAAACAAGGCACATGATGGAAGCAAAATGATTTTGGCAAAACACAAGCCCGTAACCTTCTTTTACTAAACAAAGAAGCACCCTTCTCCAAGGAGACCCCCATCTGACCTCTTTCAAAATCAACTGAAGCCTTATGAAAGAGAAGATGCAGGATACGAAATACAGGTCTAGTACTTTACTAAGCCACCAGACGTATCCTGCATCTTCTCTTTCATAAGAGAGGAAGAAAAGGAATCAGATGTATGCCCTTACAAGTCGTACCATACACTATGAAGGAAACGATTGCTAGAGTTGAGGAAAGAAGACCCATCCCCCCGCCCCCAAACCCAAATGCAGCATAAGAGAAAGAGCAGGGTGCAATGAAGAAATCATTATTTTAAAGAACCAGTTGGGTTAAAGATATATCTGCATGTAATAGAGTAAGAGTGATCACAGGTCAAAGTGAAGCTTACATAGTGCCATATGATAAAGTGAATAAGTACAGGGTACTGAACTACTGATCAATCTAATATTTCACGAGCATAAGTAATCATACATTGAGACTTGAGTACATATGTTGAACTGATGAAGAAAGTGAAATTATCAATATTCTTGAGATTATTTGGCCAAAGAAGATGGGTGCAAAGTTTAGTTGTTCAAAATGTTTCTAAACTGTTTATTCTCATCGCATTTCAGAGGTCACCACAGCAAACATACATGTTACTGTAATTCTCATTTACAGTAAAGAAATTAATCATCTGTATTATTTGCTCCTATTCATTTTCAAAGATCACAATGCAACCACCCCCAAGTATCATTCTATCATGTGCGAAAGTTCAGTTGTTCAAAAGCTCTGTAACTTGTTCATTCCCATCGCATGTCATGTCTTTGCTACCACAGCGATCATATTCATTTTCAAAGATCACCATGCAACAACCCCCAAGTACCCTTCTTTCATAGAAAGAGTATCTAAACAAGTCAAGGATTACAAGTCCCAGCAACCTACATGAAGGGCATACGAGATTACATGGATCAAAAGAAAAAGAACAGCATGCTTAGCTGGTGATTAATATCACTAGCTAGCAGCTCTTGTGGCTGAGAAGTCAAGAATTGGACTCTTGCTTTCCTAGTAAGGCTTAATAGTGAAAAAACCTGAACCCCGTTCTCTCTTATAGAAGGGACTTAATGATGCAAAAACACACAAATTTATTGATGTGTTGGTGACATAAAAAGGCTCTGGATTGGTACAAAAAACATACCATTGCAGCTGTTTTCTGAGGTGTTCTGTAGAGCTGCCATCCAGCAATCTTTGAACCAGCACTAGAGAAGCCACCTAGTCTCTCTTGAGGACGGTGAAAGAGGGACATTGAATTATCGGCTGCCCCTACCCCTAACCAGTGTTCCCCGGCATCAATGGACAATATTGAAGCAGTATGGATAGTGACATTCTTAATGCACTTTATGCCACCTACATACAAAATAAAAAGCTTTAGTTAGTCAATCAACCAGTTCATCGTCCACTCATCCCTGTGGACAAGAAGAAAGTTCACTAATGTCAACCCTTATCAACAATCACACCAAACCTCAACTTTCCAGCAAAACATGAAGCATATTGTTCATAAAATAATGTGTGATTGTGTTACTTGACAAATTCTAAAACTAATAGCACATCTGACAATCAATATTAACAATGGCATCCAGAAAAGAAGTAAAACCCCATCCCTGTACAGAGGACTCTAAGGTCAGGTTGCTCAAAGGGACATGTAAAATCTGATGTGTTAACCATGACACTTCACAATCAGTTCCAATTCATGGAGCAAGAGTTCTCGGGGAGCTCTGGGTACATCGAAATATCAAACTTGTGGCATGACAACAACAACAACAACAATCCAGTAAAATCCCACTAGTGGGGTCTGAGGAGGGTAGTGTATACGCAGACCTTACCCGACCTCTAAGGGGTAGAGAGGTTGTTTCTGAAAGACCCTCGGCTCAAGAGAACACAAAGACAAAAGCAGACTATTAGTATCACCACAGAAATCATAAGAAAAATAGGAACAACATGAAATCCAGAAGAAAGATGCAAAGCAAAACCGATAGCTAGTAAATAGGTCCTGCACTAAAAATAGTAAGACACAACATTGTCACTAGTTATCTTAGACAAAAATCATATCAGACTAGTCTCACAAAGGTATTAATAAGGCAAGACTCAACTACCTCCTAATCTATAACCTTAATACTCGACTTCCACAACTTCATATCAAGTGTCATGTCCTCGGAAATCTGAAGCCTCGTTATATCATGCCTGATCACCTCTTCCCAATACTTCTTAGGCCACTCTCTACCTCTTCTCGTTCCCTCCACAACTAGCTGCTCACACCTCCTTACTGGAGCGTCTGGGCTTCTCCTCTGAACATGCCCGAACCATCTAAGTCTCGCTTCCCGCATCTTGTCATCAATGGGAGCCACGTGCACCTTCTCTCGAATATCATCATTC